AATAATTATTAAGCATTATCTTTATCTCTAATCTGACAGTTGTCACCACAGTGACGTTACAAAATAGCGGTCGTGTTTCAAGTCACGTGACACGGACAAAGAATCACGACTTGAAATTTTAAGGTATTGAGAAAATCGTGTGATTTTAAGACTCAAAATCAGAATCACTATTCATCGGAATAATTTATTATAATGAAAATTTTAGTTATAGTGCAATTTCGTAACTCATTTTTCACTACCGAAGCTACCCTATTCCACGGCAGTGAACTTCTACACGCTTCACTCACTGCTAGCTCATATGGGCCCGCGGCGCTGCCAGTAGTCATACTAATCTCCTCTGGTATCAACTATGCCGTGTTGCCATCGCTACACGACATCTAATGAGATATCATTCAAAATAGAGCAATACCAAGTAACTAATACATTAGATTAAAGCTAATTTTAAATGAATTAACATTAAAAAATAGCTCTTATTGAATTAGTTATATGGCATTGCATTACACCACAATTTTGACCAAGCAGAACCGGCTGGCAAGGGACTAAGGGATGTGTTCCGTTTGGTCTTTGTTTTCTGTGTAGTTATGCAAATTACATATATAAGATATGTACTTCCAATAAAAAAAACGTCTAACTACGTCCAAACAGCACACATGATGTATAAGGAAACTAATGAAAACAATGCATCGTCTTCGTCCGTTTATTAAGAACATTGTAGACTACAATGTATTCTTACCTACAGATCGATAAAACTCTGTTACAATTACGAAAACAAACATTGTGGGACAACAATAAAATTAAATACGCAACATTTAAACACCCAATGGACAATTTATATTTATTATTTGAGATAATTAAAAAGAAAAGAAAATATCTTACATCTCCTTCAAATGTAAGCTTACAGTGCCCTCACAATGCACTGCACTCTACTACAGTGCACTCTAATGAAATTATTATAAATGTAACATCGCCTAGAGTACTTAAAATTATCAAATCACAGCACTCTAAACCTCAAGGCGACAAATATATAGATATATCGACGTGACTCTGATAAAAAAATCACAGTGACTTCCGATACTGGGATAGTACGCTTACAAATGGCCGCATACATAATACACTATACGAAACATATCAAATGTATCCAAACTTTGGTAGTTATTTAATAATTACATTACAATAATTAGTCACAAAAATATTATTGCATCATCTGACGACCGTCCATATTCTGACGTTAATTAATATTGCGGTAATTAAAAGTACACGCTACGAACGAATGTGCAACCGTGCCCTGATCACGAACAAATGTGTGAAAAAAATATATTATTTTTTCGAATGACACAAAAAAATCTTAAAGATATAATTTATAGTAATAATTGTTTATTTATTATACAATGGACGTAGCAATTACAAATATTTATTATAATCTCTCCGAACAACATATAAACATCATTAACGTGAGGTTTTTATTACATTGATATGAACTCGCGTATTATTGAGTTATACTGAGTGTGATCACACATTGGCTACACGAACTTTACATTTATACATATTAAAAAACCAACGAGTATGCCGAGAAAACACTTAAAACATGACCACATCCGTTGCGAAATTAAAATATGCATGCCTTTTAAAATATACCCATAATAAATCTATTTTGAAAAATATTCATTCAGGCATAAATATTTAAAATCTCGATTAGACATGGTCAGAAATTTACTATACTTAAAGTGGAAAGGTAAAGAATTACACCATTAAATAATTTTGCAAACTATTAAAAATTAATTTGTTTATTTAATTTTTTTAATCTCCCGCCCTTTTAATGGTTATTATTTGAGTTTTCTATTTATATTTCAAAAAAAACAACCCGAGTATTCCTCAAGCAGTTTTTTGTCTTTTACATGAGCACAGGGTCACATTTAGAGATATTTTTAATATATACTCGGTTGGCATTGCGTCAATGTATTCCCGGCATTATCCTATGGCTCATCCACACTAAGGCTGAAGTTGAAATACTTATTTAATAGACAAACGTACAAGTATATTATTTTAATACCAACGAGTCACTGAGTCACAGTAATAACTAAATGTATCATAGGGTTAGAAAGACGCGTTGAGCCTTTCGTCCCGCCTATACCCTTAGCCGGTAACGCCCACCAATCCACAGCGCTTGATTATAACCTGGTTTCAATTCATAGGGAAACTCGTTTTTCGATGGTGGAAACATAATGGAATGAATAGACTAGTGATAACAAGTAAAAATTAAAACTGAACTTTTTGGGATACATCGATCGATATTTTTATATTCGGGAGTTAAATAATAGTTTCAAAATACGTCTCCGCCTAGGACAATAAAATATATGGCGAGTAAGCTACATTCAAGTGTATGATAATGAAATTAAAATGTTCCGATTAATTTCCATTTCCATACCAATATTTAATTTAGGTACGGCAAGCTCCAGCTACTGTACCGCACCCATGTACTGCGCACAAGGCTAAATTTCGAAGCGCGGCAAATGTCGACTAATCAGGATGACTCAACAAGCGCGCCATTGGGCGATCCGCGCGCCTGGTTCCCGCCCAGTGCAAGTGTATCTGACACCTAAAGCATTGTAATTTATGCCTTATGATTATTAAAACAAGACTCATTATAATTTTTAATGGTACATTCGGTCATCATCGGAATTGATAGATCTGCAGGCCAATTCTGCTAATTGTTACGTAATAATAGCATCTCAATATAATCTCAATTACTTGTATTTTTTTTCTATCATTCTTTTTTATATCACATTGTACCATCTACCTGAAGGGGGCCATTCATTTATTACGTAAGACGATTTAGGGGGGGATGGGGGTCAACAATGTCTTAGTTTTTCTTACAAAGGGGTGGGTGGGAGTCTCGATAGTTCTTACGTAAGATCAGCAAATGGGGCTGATGTGGAATGGGTGGACGTCAACGACGTCACTATCCTGAATGACCAACTACAAGCAACACCTTTTATTAGAGATGTTCCAGTGGCAGATACACTTTCTGAGTGGGTTTTGAGTACCTGGACTAAAAATTTTATTTTTTAAACTACCAATAAATGAAAATTATTAGTACCTTTGTAAGTACAGAAAAAGATTTCTAAAAATTATTACTTTGAAAAATAATCATTAAAACAACCCAAAACCAATATTATTTTTTCTTTCAGATTCTTACATAATAAATATTAAACAGGGGGAGGGGGTCGGCCTTTTCTTATTTTTTCTTATAATGGGGGGGGGGGGGCGTTAAAAACTAGCGAAAATAATCTTATGTAATAAATGAATGGCCCCAAATCCAATATTATTATGTAACTGTCACCATTGATGTGCGAGTAAGACATATCACAAACAATATTGGACTTCAGGTAGATAGTACAATGGTTAATTGCATGTCGTTGAGATTCTATTGAGATGCGATAAATACGTAACATTAGCAGAATTGGTCTGCCGTTCGACGCAACAAAGATTCATCATGCACTATACTAATTGGATTTTACTATAATACTACATGTATCATTATGTATATTGATCTGAGCCTCTATAAAAATTATAATTAATACATAAGACAATTTTTGTCTAATTATAAATATTAGGCCTTATTTTGCTTATAATGCTTATGGGAACACACCATGAAGTTTACAACTCTTGTGTGCAAACACCTCAGCGAAAAAATACTGTAAACATGAACCTTAGTGTGAAGGAGCCACCACAATAACATACTGACTGTACGTTTATACAGCGTTCCAAAATAAAATAAAAACAATGTTTATTTCTTGATAAATTACATGTACACAATTATTCAGAAGTTAGTGAGTATTGTTAATTTTTCACAATGCTCCATGTTTTAGGCCCTAAGCACATGGTGTATTTTAAACTGCGCAAACGACGCGCAGATCACGCGCGTATACGCACTTCAAACGAGATTTGAACGCAATCTTGTAACCTAAGCACACGGGGTGATCATGTAACGTGCGTCTACTGGGCGTATACGAGCAGATACAGCACACAATAAAATATCATTGCATCTGCGGCGCGAACGGCGCGGTAAAGTGTGCGAGCGCACCTCTTAAGGCCATTTGTACGCGCATACTCTAAAACGCCATGTGTTCGGAGCCTTACATACAATAAAACAATTAGGCCAGTTATTATTGAATTTTAATTCGATTAATGAAAAAATAATCAATCAAGAAATAAACATGAGCTTTTACGTTTCAATACCTGACATAACATGAGTATGATTTGAGATTATTGTATATAGTATATGTTAAGAATTTTATCAAACATTATTCGCGTTATAAATCACCCAGTGTCAAATCAACAAAGTATAAGATGAGAAACTTTACCTAATAACACTAAATTCATATTGGTGTCAGTCGTTCATCAGATATTTACATCAGTGGTAAGAGTGCAATCCACCCACAACCCAATGAGCAACCAAAATTACCTTTTTCTATCTGATCAAGAAGCTATTTATACATATTTATAAAGTAAAAAAAATCAATCCAGCCATAATGATGCTTAAAAAAACTACTAAAATTGCGGTTCACTATTTTTGTTAAAATTTAAAAATAATTTCCCCTAAATATGTTAATTGAATAGTAATCTGATTGATATACAAAATACTTACACACAGATAAGGAACCATGTTACCAGAAAACTATTTGTATGCAAACTATAGTATAATTTGTAATAAAATGTAATATAAATAAGTGTTATTTGTAGCTATTAAAAACTGTTTGGGTCCCAAATTTCATTTTTCTCTCTTTAAATGAAAATTGTGAGTCGATGAAATTATACAACATGTATTTTTAATTACTCGATGCAATTACATTGATTTACTAAAGAAATCTATTATATTACTATATATTAATTAAAAAAAATCCCCAACATTAAACAGTAATCTGGCAACAACTAATGGCTGTCATCCACTCGCGCACTATTGTCAAATTTTGATAAAAAGTTCCGTAAACAAATAATATGTTTCTAAATTCCCCGCGTTTCGGAGGGTAGCAAATCGTGACCAATCTATTCAAATTGCACCGTGACCTAGAGCTTTGTATTTCACATCTGCCGGTTTAAAAAAAAAAAAACTATATATATATAGATCTGGTCTTCACAAACAAATATTCGCGATGCACCACCACAGTTGGGTTTATTCATATTTATTTCTATATTTTTCGTGTAATTAAAAATACACGGTGTATAAAGGAGCCTATATGCAAAACCTATTTAATATTTAGAAATATATTCACCAGGAAACAATTTGATATAGTTCATTAACTCAATACGAGCTTATTAAAAAAATGCATTATCCTAGGTACCTATATTTTGTTGACTGTTCATAGGTCACTGAATATTCATTAAACATTACAAAAATCTATAATCACATCCTTTTATCGTAAATATTGAGCTTTAGATAAAACAATTTTTTACACAATCCTTTCAAATATAGATAAATTCACTACACACCACCAATATTTTCACTGTTTTACAAACAAAATTGTTCATATACAATATCTATGATAATATTAATAAATATAAAAAAAAATGATAGTGTTCAGTCAACAAAGATAAATGTTATACAGGTTTGAATAGTTTATCGTTAGGACCCTGTTTAAGATTCCACAAGAAAATATATAAATCTAACATACAGTCCAACGTTACATTTGTGAATAATAAAATAATAGATATTATTCGAGTAGATTTTGTAGAATATATAAAAACGCACATACGTTTTCATCGCCACAAACCGGTCGTTGCAAATTTACCACTGATATGGGAACGTTATCTCGTGCGCGGACGCGTACGTCACTCCAGTCTCACTTTCTTGCCTTTCACCACTGTCGGCTTGTTCTTGAGCAAGCCTTTTCTTCGCTTCGATGTCTGCGAGAAACAAGAATATTATCATTATAACTCATAGTGTAATGAAAACTAAAAAGAACATCAACAACAGCGGGTTTGAAATTGATAGCAAACAGGCTTTTTATTCAGTCGAAAAGAGTTTCCATATATCGCTCACTGAATAGTACAGTGGCACAACTCAAAAACCATTATTTCGAGAAAACGCCACAACATTGCGGTGGTATCCCATAGATAATTTTAAGAAAAAATAAAAAAAAATATAGTAATAATATAATAGAAACGATTTAACTGTTATGCTAAAAATTTTGATTTTCAAAATTAAAAATATATTAAATTTTCATAACTTCGGAGAGCGTTTCTCGAAATTATGGTTTTTGAGTTGTGCCACTGTACTATTCAGTGAGCGATATGTTGAGCGAATAAAGGTTATTGATTTAAAACAATCTAAATTATTCTAGTCTAATAATCCGGTCAACATAGTTTTATATTTTTGAGGCCGATTAAATAATTCAATTTATCTCTATTAATATAAATGTTAACTAAATCATCTTAAATCAAAATCAACCTCTTCATACACAAACATATGAGTCCCTATTTATCCTCTAATATTTTCACACGTAAAAAGCCAAGTTTATATATTTCTTAATTGCATTCGAACAGAAATCGTTAACCTAATGTCAACGAAGCACAAGACAATCATAAAATATCGACAAACATCAACATAAGCTCACTGATCACACAAACAACTAACAAAATAAAAACATGACGTAATAGACATGCAAATAAATAAAAAACAATCATTTAAAACAAGCAACATAATCGTGCTTTGGCAATGATGTTTACTATACCACTTGTTCATTCCCTACTGGCAGCTGTAACAATTAAAAATATTTTTTTCACTTCCATTTCAAATTAACAGTGTTATTCAACGAAACTAATCGGGGCGCAATTTGAAACTTATGTTCTACAGCATTTTTCATTCGTCCTTTTTTATCGTACTAAATTGTACTATGCTAAAACGAGAGATTCAGGACCGGATCGATGGGAGGCAAATGGGGGCACTTACCCTAGGACTCCTGACACTAGCGTCAGGAGGCGTCAAAATCATTATAATAACGATAAAGTTATAAAACCAAGCTTTACAAAATATCTTTTAAAATAAATAGGCTATGATGGGACAGAAATGTTTTCAAAGTCCCTAAATGAAATAAACGAAATGAAATCATATATTGCAAAAATATGAAGAATGTTATACGGAACAACCTAATATAAAATCCCCCGACTCACGGAACGAGGGGGTGTAAGGGCGCAATATAAAGTTTCAGACCCGGTGAAAAAATCGTCTAGATCCGGATCTGGAGAGCTTTGTCAGCCTTTGATGTTCCGAATGCAGAATGACATTACACAAGACGCTTTTATACAATAGAAAGAGAAATGCTAAAAATGCTTATTCTTAGTACTTTATGCTTAAGAAAAACTGGACCAATTTGAGCATTTACAAACCCAAGATACCAATTTAAATACTGACAAATAATTAATGTGTCAAGATTAACTAAAAGTCAACAATTTAACATTATAATAGACCTTAAGAACTTAATTTTAAGATGTAAATTGATTTACCTTTTTAGACATTATATTGGTAGTTGAGATTGATCTCTTCGCCAGTGGTAACCGTGGGCGGTTGAACTCATCGGGTTTTTTCACTCTATAAGGAGTAATAACCAATATTTAAATCACTAAAACACCATCAGTATTAAAAAAGTCACATCATTTTATCCTTTCAAGGTATAAACCAACAAACTTCAATATTAAACAAAGACATTGACAGTTGCACAAAAACTTTAAGTTCTTATTAATGTTCTTAATTTGAATTTTTGTAACAGTAATGTTGTTTTAAAGTAATGAAAATTTTAATGGACATTTGTGCTACTGGGCATATGACATTAGAATATTTGCTTTTAAAATTTGAAACCTCTTTTCGTGCTTATCTAGGTTTTTACGTCACATGTCCAGTATATTTCTATCTTTCTCGTCAGATATTTTCATATCACATGACATCAAATGACAAAATTCTTCAATCAAACTCAAGCCTCAAGTCTTCCACAGCCACATTCAATATTGACTGCAGTATTTTTTTATTAATAAGAACTCAATTGGTGAACTTCGTCAGCAATAAGCTATTTTTGATACCTATATATCCTAACGAGCCAGTGCTCGGTGGTGTAGGCCTCCTCGAGGTAGGTGAGTTTGAATCCCCGGTTGCCGGGTAACGCACCCCTGGTCCGATCGTAACCAGGCGGACTGCCCCCACTGTCATATCTGACAACAAACAAAATTTCTAAATTGAACCTTATATGAAAGAAGTACGGTATACTACTATAATAACACACTAGATTATTTAAAATATTTAACATTTCCAGTATCATTCTTAGATCTCTTGCTAGTTTACTCTTGCACTTAATTTAATTATTGAATTTGAAATTCTACTTAAAAATAATACATAATTGCTAATAATTGAACGGTACCTGTAATATGATAACTTATACATCAAACAATTCAACATAGTTTTTGATGCTTCTGAATCGACTCTATACTCGCCCCTCTCAGTAAAATAGTCTGCTTCCTGTTAACAAAAAAGAAATATAACATAAATATTATCAATAACACATTTTATTACAGTTATAATTCGAAATTATCGAATAAAATTTAAACATCCAGCATGAAATTTATAAGTCATATCAGTCTCTCTTTGTGTATGTATGATGTTACATATTTTTTTATCTTGTTACAACTATCTCAGTTACTCATTTTTGACGCAGGCGGGTTTTTGATTTCTTTTCGGGTTGGTTCACAATATGAAAACCAAAATTATTTCTAAAATTTCTCATTTTATTATTTTTATTAGTATTACGGTAGTGCTAATGATGATATACCTTTTTGAAATTCTTTTAATTTAATTGTTGTAGTATTTAAAAGAAAAAAACCTTTAAATATAATGGCGTCACACAGCCGCCATATTGGATTTTTTTAACGTTCAACGTCTCAATCTGTTCAACGGTTCTGAAGATAAGTATGTATGTACCTCATACATACAAGATACGCGCGAAACACATAACCTTTCTTATGCAGTCGGATAAAAAAATCGATTTTGAAAGGTCGTAAAAAATTATTAAAATATTCATCTTGGCCAATTTTTTGACTATGACGTTAGCTCGAGAACTTTGAGAACTATATACCGTGATGTTCGTTTCGACAGTCACGAATATTATGGCGGTTTCCCGTAACATGTTTATTTTTTAGTTGTTTTATTATATTTAAGGGCGTTCTTTCATTTCATGGGTGTTGTTTTTCATATTTCATTGGCTTTAATTTGATCTCTTTTGCACAAACTAATTTTGTTGATACTATTTATGAAAATGGCAGTACCAAAATGGTATATTCAGCATAATCAATGATATCATAAAAATATAAAGAGTTTTTATGACCTCATGATGTATATTAAAGCGTATAAAAGCAGGCATACCCTAATAATTTTTCCTTTATATTCTATAGTGTACTTTATCATCATACAACTAACATAGATATTACTTTCTTCTAAATTTTTTTTAATCAATATATCGCTGTACGAAAACTGTTCCATAGAATTGCTTAAAAAATTCACTTGGTCCCTGGCACCCTGAGATGAGAATCGAACCCAAGACCTTTCCACAGAATTTTTGTGCAAAAAAATATAAGCGCATACTATTGTTTATATTACTGAAACAAGCAACATAACTCACGTGTATATCTTTGGGATGCTCTCCTTCAGCGATCCGCACCATCCATATGAACTTATTGATATCATCGCCCGAGTATCCAATAGCACCACCGAATATAACCAGCACGTAATCGACGTCGAGCATCGACATTATCTCATACGCGGCGCTCTCGTTGCTGGCCATCGCTTTCCCAACTAGCGCTATGTGCGAATTGTTCCATGTATTGTTGTCCACTAGTGTTGTACGATTACCCATACCTGCTATCTGTATATTTTATATAATATTTAATTATAAAAATCGAGTTTCAACTGTGTTTGTCAACAAAATTCAAAGATTAATACATTAATATATTTGTTACTATTTAATTTCTGTTTGTAATAAAAAATATATGATTTTTATCCCAAACAAATTTCACTAGAACAGCTAAAACGAAACATAATATTCATAATTACTTTCTGGAATAGATATTTAGTAGATCCATACGTTACACATAAAGTACTGTTACATAAAGTACTGTTCATATACTGGTAGAATGTGAGAAACTATTGTTAATAACTGTGTAACATCATGTGTATATTATCGCAAATAAACATTTATTATTATTATTATTATAAAGATCGCACTTAAAAACACAACCAAAACTTAAACTGGTATCTTTTTATACAACAACTGGAAAATTTATTATACATATTTTAGTTACCGCATACATAAAAAAAATCTTATTTTAATAATATGATTATGCATTTACCTGATAACCGTAATCCCACCATGACATAATTCTTGCATCATCGGCAGTGTTCTGTGATAGCCAACCATATGCTTCTCGGAAATCATCCAAGATTCTACGAGATCTAAGTATGTAAGAAAACATTTTTTTTTATTATAGGTCATTTGAAGCATATAAATCAATGAATTTAATAACAAATTATTTATGTAGTTTATTTAAATATACTATACATAATAAATACATGAAGAAATATTGGCTATCCGCCAGCGATTTCTACCGCGTGAGCCTGTTTTATGCATATAAAATGCATACAGACGGAAAATGCATAGACAGAAGTGACTTTCTTTTTAATCTATATAGGTATAAATAAACAAATATGAAAACGAAGATAGATGAATAATTAGACAACACCACATTTATTTCTAAGATTTCAAAATAATTAGCTAGAGTTAAATTATGGAGTATCTGAAACAACAAACACCCAGACCCGAGACGCAACTTCAGATCTTCATACTTCAGAGATCGTCTGAATTTCGTCTTCTTTTGTGTAATGTCTGGTTTTTACGTATTAGGTAATAAGTAGCTACTGATGTTTAGTGTGTTAACACAACACAAAAAAACACTTAGCACGTTCATTGCCTTATCGTGCGACGTCGCTTGGAGCGACCTATTACGCTGTTGCTGTGGCTGGTAACGCGACATCGCGTTTTGGTTCCTTACAATCTTATACAGAATATAGAACATCACTAGTGACACAATGATTTTTTGACAAATGGTTATGGCCTACGGGTAATCTTAATGTCTTATTTTGTCCTGCGCTCGCTAGTTATTGGATACACAATAAAAGTCAAAGTTTTAGCTTATCAACGAACGTCTAAAAATAAATTTACATTTTAATTGACTACTTATCCACTTATTACGTGTAAAACAGGCATCAAGTAACTTACCCATCGTTCCCGTAACTAGCAAGCACTATACTAGGACTTGAGTATGCGTTGGACGTGGCCCATGTGCAGTGAACGGAGAACAACATCAACAGGATCATGAACGCGATCAAAGTGCCGGAGCGAACGTTCATACCCAGGCCGGCGTCCGACGGCGCCACGGGCTCGTGTGTACGCTTCTTTAGCTTGCCAGCCTACGAGTGATATTATAATTCATAATATCATATATTTATTGATCTAGTAACTAATAATACAATTTAGTTCGGCCTGTCATTACGGAAACTAAGCATATTAATGCAACAAGCATATTAAGGCTTACTCTTGAAAGCAAAACTCAATGTCGATTTCAATCAAATCTAATGGTGATCTCAATTTTCATCAAATCTCAGCTTGTACTCTTGTAACTTAGACTTAACACTTACTCAATGTAAATTAGTTCATTCAATAACCACGCCATATTGAGCTGATTGGCGCTAGTGTTACCAAATCAAGAGTATGAAAGTCACAATGGCATTGTATTGTGGAAATACGAATCAACGAAGAGACCACTATACTCAAACCTGAGGTTCGCTGAACCCAGCGAACAGTGCGGATCGGCAAGTGATTAAATACGTATTTCTTCCATTTCCTTACCTTATCATATAAATTTTTGGACTCATCGGTTTCCACTGGCGGCGCTGGAAGCTCGTCTTCGCGAAGTACCAGATCCAATAAAATTGAGAATGCTATCCCAGAGAGCACGCATACCACAGGTGTGAGAGTCAACATCAGACGGACCATTACACCAGCGAAGTATACCGCACTCAACGCGTACAAAGCCACTGAAACATAACGAACAATCATAGATTAAAGTTAACCTTATCTTGATTGAAACAATCAATTACAAGAACATGTATTTTGACAGTCAATAGTGTTTTTAATCTCAATATACACAAATAAATAAGTAAAAAAAATAATTACCAAACACCCTTTCATCGTTGATATTCTTAATGCAGTACCACAGCCCTACAGGGAATGTGCATACTAATACATGGAGATCGAAGAAAAATGATGACCAAGTCGTCGGCTGATGCTCAGACACCGAGGCGATGATAGGTATGTGAATTTTGGCATATGCAGTGTCCCACAGTGAATAAAATCTAAATTAAGAAAAAATAGTAATATTTAATTCTAAACAAAGAAAACAATGTTGAGAAATCACTTATAATATTTTTATTCAAGCAAGTTTATGCACACATATTTAATATTATTATAATACCCGATATTTAAAACACACATAGTGTTTATATGTCTTAAATATCTATATATTACACTATTGTTGATTGAAATCACGTTTTCATCTGTTTGTATGCCTTAATTGACTTTATATTAGGTCCAATACATATGGAATTGGCGTTTTGTCGTACTGGCCACTTTAATCACAAATTTCCCCTCCTTGGTTGGGAATTCCAAATTCAAATTATACAGCCATTTACACATGTATTTGTGTCTCGTTAGGAGGTATTCATTTATTTTTTTCTTCTGTTTGTCCTATTTACATCACCCAGTATAAAAAATGGAAAACTTGAAATATCGTGTTATTTACGAGTACGAATTCCAGCGTGGTAATAGTGCTGCGGAAACGGCTCGAAGGGTTAATGATATGTATAGCGGTTGTGTCGCAAAAGAAAACACAGTGCGCTTTTGGTTCCAATGTTTTCGTTCTGGAAATTTCGACCTGCAGAACAAGCCCCGTGAACGGCCAGAGACCCAAGTTAATAATGAAGAATTGAAGGCTATTGTGGAACCGGATCCATCCCAACCACGTCGGAGTTAGCTGCAGGCTGCGGTGTAAGTGATAAAACTGTTTTTATCCATTTGAAGTAAATTGGAAAGATTACAAAGCTTGAAAAGTGGGTACCTCACGAATAGAGTAAAGCAAACCGGCAAACGCGCTTCGACAGCTGCGTTACATTACATAACCGGCACAATAATGAAGGGTTTTGAAATCGAATCATTACCTGTGATGAAAAGGGGATTCTCTACGATAATCGGAAACGCTCATCGCAATGGTTGGACCCTATCATGCCAGCCAAATCCTGCCCCAAGCGAAAATTGACCCCAAAAAGTTACTTGTAAGCGTTTGGTGGACTAATGCCGGTGTCGTTCATTACAGTTTTCTGAAATCTGGCCAGACGATTACGACAGACGTCTATTATCAGCAATTGCAAACTATGCTGGAAAAACTAGCTGTTAAACAACCGAGGATGGTCAATCGCTGACCGCCACTGCTACTTCACGACAACGCTAGACCACACACTGCACAACAGACGGCTACCAAATTAGAAGAGCTTCAATTGAGATGTTTAAAACATCCACCATACTCCCCGGACCTTGCTCTAACAGATTACCACTTTTTTCGAAATTCGGATAACTTAAAATTGAAATTTGGATAAAATAAAGGGAAAAAATTCAACTGTGATGGGGCAGTGCAAATTGCCTTCAAAGATTTTATTGATTCCCGTCCAAATGGTTTTTTTAATAAGGGGATCAATTAACTACCTATGAGATGGCAAAAGTGCATAAATAACAATGGTTTATACTTTGATTAAATAAGTATATTATATTAAAAAATATTCGACTTTTTGTTCCTCCCATACTAAAGACCAATTTCATATGTAAGGACCTAATATTAATGATGTGAATTTCGAATGAGGATTTAAGTTTTACATGTACACATTACTTAACTTTTCAAAATAAAATGCTTTCTGCAGCTTTAATTCTATGTGGCTACACTCACCGTCCACTCCATGGGGCTATCACTCCCATATAAGTAAGCAGAACAACTGCAAGGAACACAACTCCTGCAGCCAGTAGTCCTCCAACTATAAGGAGCTGCTTCCATTGCCCCTTGGGGTTCAAACTGTGCAAATACTTTAGGGCGCCAATAGCCATAAGAAGGGCAAACACGCCTGTAACAAATTATTCATTTATAATTTTATTGAACATAAGTATATTTAACTGTATAATGGAAAACAGGAACAAAATCTACTACTGAGATAATAATACTACTTTTTTCTCTTCTTTAACTTAGCATTTGAATATTAGATGTCTTCTGACAAGATGATTATCAAGTCCCTTTTACGTCCCCACTGCAGGGACATAGGTCTTCTTTATGGATGGTTAGAGAGGATGGGCCGTGACCCTCAATACTAGTCCAGTGCCTTCCAGAGCATGGAATACATTATTATCAAATATTTTGTTACAACTAACTAACTAACTTATTTTTAACAAGAATTGTATTAGTAATTGTACATGCAGCTTCAAGTCAGGTTATGACAATATGTCAAGTTTCTACAATGGACTTTGACCTCTTCTATCAATATATTAAGGTTTAAAATCAAGTGGGGAAAGATAGTTTTTATAGCTTGTAATGCAGTTAACTGTACATCTATTTAAATATTCTTCATTAATAATAAAATATATTTGAATATGATTATTTAAATAATTATTCAATTATTAATATTTTCCTCACCAATTGTGTAAATATAGGTTTTGAATGTATACAGAAAAAATTTTACATGTTGGTATTTACACAATATTTTACACAATATATATGTGCAAATAGAATAAAATAATGGAGTATTAATTCCATTTGCACATATATTATAATTTAGACCACACATGTCAAAATTATGATTGAAGAACCACAAATTGAATATTTGTAGTTGTAGTAGGACTTACTACCCCAGTTATTTCATTTTTTACATTCATACTAAGGTTACATGTTGTTATAAAAAGAGTCATTCTTAAAATAATAACATTTTTATTACAACTATTATTTGTGTTGATTTGGTTAAAATAAAACGATTACATAAAGCCATAAAGGTAACCAACAAGAAAATTGGTTACGCCAATACACCATATTCAGCTTATCAGCACTCAATACCCTTATCACAATGTATATACTAAATTAAATGGCATAGCTGTGAAATTTACACAAATTAGGCTTGTTTCAGAGCAATGTCTATGGAGTATAAGTGATGTTAATGAGTTTTCTAATTAATTTCAAATTTTACATCAGATGTAAGGAATTCTAAAACAAATTTGTTTTGATCCAGTTATAGAGATAATTTCAATAATTAGTCAAGGCAAAAAAATTACTCTGGATGAGAAATATAGTCTTCATAACTAGTTGTGGAATCTACAAGTATTCTTATACAAGTTAATATTAAAGATAAAAATCATAACACTTCAATTTTATTCAACAATTGAATTTCAAAACAAATTCTGATAATCTTTAAGCAGTATAGTCATTCTTAACAAGATAACATAAACAGCTAATAGACAATATTTACAAATCAACATAAAAGTAGACAGACTCATAACTCATAATCTAATACCAGCCTAAAAACATTAGATTATATCAATTTAATGGCGTAATAACATGCTAATAAATCCATGATATGTATGCATGCATATTAAGCATATTTTGAAACTTATTAAGAGTTTCTGAATAAATTCTCAATCATAAGATGTATTGCTACTAGAAATTTGAGTCTATTTATTAATAGCAAAATAATTAGAGATTATGTTTTAATTCTTATAATTTCCAACAAATGCTAGATAGCCTGATAGACATTAAATATATATTATATTTACGAATACATTTGTTATCTATCAGGCGAATGAAATCTCACCTGAAGCTGCCATATGTTCACTTGTTCGGATTGGTTGAAACCCGACAAATGGTATCTGCATTGATAACAGCAAACCGACTATGTAGAATACCGTATAACTCACAAACACCCGTTGCGAGAAACGTCCCATTATCAGCAGCACAAAAACATGTAGTGGAATCAGGTTTATAATGAATACATAACCCCCCCATGCAGACACCTGCCAAATAATACAATAATATACATAACTTCATTCTTCTCATCACAAGGAAATTGAATAGGAAATCTGTAACTTTCATGCTATTGTATTTCATACATGAGTATATTGAGCATGTATATTGTTCAAACAGAATGTACTGTATTAGTTTTAACAGACTTAATAACTATTTGTTTACCTCAAAATAATACCTTAATAGCATACAAATCTTTTTTCTAAACAAACTCTGTTGTCAAAACAACCTTTAACTTCAAAGTTGGCATACATAATCTTCATAACAATAGAACCTTATGAATTCCAATTAGAACCAGAGTGCTGAAATATGTTTAGGTTAGGTGTAAATGTAATGAATACTGTTAAATAATAATAAACTAACCATATAAAAGTATGATAGAGCTGTGCATATCGACCAGAATACTGAGCCACTCTTGACACTCTTCAACCACAGGTAGTAAGTGAATTGAAGAGCAAATATTGCGATACCCTCATTATCATAGCTTCCAGCTACTGAACGACTACTATACCCAGGTATAATAGCTATGAAACATGCAGCAAAAAGACCAGCACCTCTTGACCATAACTCAGATGTCAAAAGATATGTAGCTATTGCTGTAAGGCCACTGAAATTAAAATCAAAAGTGTTACTAGATGCACAGGAAGTAATATCACAAATACATTATTTAACTATATATAAACTTAATATATAATCATCAATGTAATGTACCTGAAAACTGGGGCTAAAAATACGCAGATATCTCTAATATGTATAGGAATATTCAGAGTGTGTAAAATCCAGTGAATGGTGCCTGATGTTATCATAAGACCAGGATACACGGTACCGCCGACTATGCGGCCCAGGGGATACCAGGCCCGCTCATCAAACCAGTTCAAGAAGTTGTAAAAACCATGCTGAACCATGTACGCTGTAGAACGATAATTGAACCTAAAACACGTATGCAAATTTAATGTTAACCACAATTTTCACACCGTCAGTTTATTACGATAAAAACATAATAATACTCACCATGGATCAAACTCATGGATAATACTTTCGAATCGAATTACAGCGAACAACCGGGATGCAAAACCGGCCAACCAAGCTAAGGACAGAACTGTAACAGTGATAAGTGTGCTAAAGCCGGCAGTATTATGGAATATTCCCTTGTTGTGGCCATTGCCCGGAGGTGCAACGGCGGAGGCCTGCATTTCAACTTGCGTTTATATTGTAGACTAGTCTAAAAAAATGCAATAATCTTATTTTCATACATCAGTTCTAGCTATTCGATTTTAGTAAAATTGACTTTTGGCCGACTGACGGACACGTCTCTCGTTTAAAACCTTGCCAGATGTAAAAATATACATCACAGACCACTAACTTAAAGTTGTTATGTATTCTAAAAAATTGTCGACACTGAAAAATAACTCTAGTTTTCTTCGATTAACAACAAAACAATAACTAGATGTCCGGTCAGAGTCTCAAAGGTGGCCGAAGACATAACGACTCACTTTAAAGTGTGGTCTTATTTTGACTTAGTTTGTTTGTGACGCGTTAGGAGTACTATTATTCTATTTTGCAACGGCGCCAAAGTTCGAACATGTTACGATGGCCAAATATTTGATGTTCTAAAACAGCACATGCATGGTGTAGTGTAGTACTCTTACTTTCTTTTACCAAAAATTCGAACAATAATTGAAATAATAGAAAGAAACATATAGGTTTCTATTAGTCTTGAAGTTTTATAAGTGTGTTGAGTATCTATTGACAACAAAACTATTTCAAGCAAAAGATGCGTTCCTGAAAGTGACTTAAATCAGTGTTTGAAAGTAAATAAGATAAGATAAAAACACTTTATTGTACAACACACAACAGAAATAAATAAAGAGTAACTTACAAAAATTAAAACATTTGCACAATAAGCGGCCTTATCGCTTAACAGCGATTTCTACCAGGCAACCTATACTGGAAGAAGCAATGATAACAACAATGTAGGTAGGCTGTGCGCGTTACAAATAAATTTAATAATATTAATAGAAATATAAAAATGATAATAAAGTTACATAAAATAAAATTAACAATATTGCCGAAATAAACATCGATAATACACAAATTGATTATTTTTTTCCAAGCCTATTCCTTATGAATTTTCCGAATCGCGGACACAGCAGTGCAAAAGCGTAAACACGTTTTCCGCCATCACGGACATGAAAAAAACCGGTCCGGAATAGAGAAAAGTAAAATCCCGGACGGTAAAATTCCTGACAGTGCACAGGCTAGCATTACCTATATGCCTGACATATCGGACCTGAAAAAATCGGATCGCCGGACATGAAAATTCAGTGTAGTGCACAAGCGCCCTAACAGTTAGTTCTTTCTGTAAACAATTAAATTATAGAAAGTAATCACTTTCTTATCGGAGTTTGTTTGGCCAGTTCTTTGGTAGATACATATTTAGTTGATTGGTTGGGCATCTAGTTAAATTTCTGGAACTCATTTTTTTTTAAATACTTCCTCATAAACATTACACCACAGAGTAATGAGGAAATATTAAAAAAAAATGAGTTCCAGAAATTTAACTAGATGCCCAACCAATTGCAATAAAAAACAAGTTTACGAATATACAACTCACATTCTATTTGTACTTTTTCTTATTTGTATTGATATCTAAGTTTCGAACTTTTAAATTTTTTTAAATGTGTTAGTTAAAAGGAACGGAATGACAGTCTTTGGTTTATTCGTTTCCTACAAAAATAACTTTTGCTAGAGTCGCCATTTAGTGGAGGTGCTTTTTTTAGTGCTTTCGTTTTTTATAATACTTCCTCATTGGTTGTCGCAGTGTATGAACTATGGTTTGAGTGCCGTATTTGAGTATTGTTTTAGTATGAGAGGAGTTATCTCGTTGTATTGTTTAACGAAGCAAAATCGTATCGCTGTTTGTATGTTTCCAAAACCGAAACATAATAAAAAAAAGATTGACATGACTTTTTGACATTGACGTTTTCTGTCTGTCACGTTGACGGTTTACGTACTTGTGTTTAATTATCAAAGTTGCCTACATTTTTAGACATTAAATTCAATAATTTTAAAGTTAGCTATTCATGAAGTTTATGCGCTAGTTAACCCACTTTGTTAATTACAGAAAATGTATAAATTTTAATAATAAACACAAATCTAGTGTTTATATCGATTATTTGTCATACAAATATGTCTAACTATCAAGAAATAGTTAACTTAAACGTTGGTGGTACTAGGTATGATTGACTTTAATAAAAAGTGTAGCACTGTTCAATTGAAATTAAATTTTTGCTGTACCGTGATTATCTTGTTTATCTGTAAAATCGAGTTTGGCCCCTAAACATTCGCAAAAGTGCCTTGAATTTTTTTAATACATTTAAGTTTTGTATCGTTTGAAATAATTTCAGATTTTCTACTTCGTGGCATACATTAACCTGGGTACCTGACACCTTTTTCACTGCTTTGCTTAGTGGAAGGATACCCACTGTCCGAGACGAAACTGGGGCAATTTTTATAGACAGAGATCCACAACTGTTTGGTTTAATATTAAACTTTCTTAGGACCAGAGACATAGATCTAAATAATGTGAATATAAGATCTCTTAGACATGAATGTGACTACTTTGGTATTACTCCTCTTAGTAGGAGATTAGCTCTATGTGATGAAATGAACCATTCTTCATGTGGTGATGTGCTTTTCTATGGATATTTGCCACCACCATGTAAGTCAACTTTTATATTTGAAGTTAATAATAAAATTTTTGATATGCAAACATTAAAATTATAATAAATATAACCAGGATCTTAAAAATCCGAAGTTATAATATAAGTAACAAAATTTGTAGATAAAGTATATTAATCAACACAGTATACTAGTAAACAAAGAGCTTTGATAATCTTAATCAATTAATCATTCTTAACAATATTTACCAAAAATAATACTTGCAGCAATTTCTTTGATAATATAATCTTATCTAAATAATGTAATCTGATCTGTCTAACTTTGTCTGCCATTTCCATAAATTATAGTAACATACTTTAAATTATACTTTTTCTAGTAAATACAGCACTACCTAATAATTCACGAAGTGGTAATGGATGCTCAAGAAAGAACTCCACTGCTTCTAGCACAGAAGTTACTGGCAACAGAACTCATTCTAGGAACTCTTCATTGGACTTACGTACTGTTGGAAGGATACCATCACAAGATCAATTAAGGTTTCGGAATCTTTTAATGAGTTATCACTAAACTTTAAATATTGGAAGGAGGCTAGGTTGTTATAAAATGGTCACATGTATGTATATGTTTATTTATTTATTTGTTTGTTTAATCAATCATGCCAATCTTGGTGTAATTATATTCCCTTTCCAACTGTAAATTTCACATTAAAACATTATATTCTAAGTGGACTAACCTCATCAGAGGCCTGAAGTGGCAATAATCCGAGAATGAGAACTTTTCCAACCAGGGCAAAAACTTGATATTTCATTTACACTAAAGCACATATATTTTTATCTTTATTATGATTTTGGTGAATGTGGGCTGCCCATTTGGAGGCCCCCCAGGATGGGAGGCCCAGGGTGGACTGCCTCCTCCCCCCCTTAGTCCATCAGGTGGCATGTCTTTAAGAATTTAGAAATCACAGTGGTGTCAGAAAGATATGATTGCTAGATTAGAGATGGAAAATTGGGCCTAAAATCTCACATGATTAATGAATATTCCCTTATATCAATATTTCTCACATACAAATTATTACTTGACTCCCATTTATATGATTTTCTTATCTGGATGTAAGGTAATAGTTTTTATTGACGTACATGAGATCCAGACATAGAAAACCATAAAACTATTATAATAATTTAAAATAAAAATTATACAAAATATTGAAATGACACAATAATTAAGTAAATGGTTATTTACTGGTACATTACATTTTGATTTATAACTCAAATACTGAATACATTAAAGATATTTATCAAATCTAACAATTTAAAAAATGTATTATATATTACTTATTATACCTAATATATATGTGTGTATATATATATATAAAATTGCAATAAAATTCATATAATAATGATTTCTTGTATTATTACAGCCGTTGTGGCAGAGGACATTCAAGAGCTGCATCCTTAGGCAATGCAGATTCTCAGAAGGGGCTAAGGCCACCTGAGAGTGAGTTCAAATATACTCAATCAATATTTTCATACTATTATTAATTAAATGCCAAATTAACACTAAAAACATTAAATATTTCCAGTAAACACATGGTCAGACAGTATGAAAGTACAAATTATAAAGGCGCATCACAACTGGATTGCTGTAGCCTATTCTCACTTTGTAACAGGATACAGGTTGGTATTGTACAATATTATTTTTATTTCAAAATTTTTTAATTTAATTAAGCAAGTTATTGAGAAATTTACTCAATCAAAGTCGCAATCAATGGTCATCGGATTATGTGCAGGTTAACCAGATTATGGTATGTTTAAATACCATCTTGGGCACTGTATTAAATGTTGACTTAGTTTTGTATAAAAAAATAACTACTGAATAATCAGTGGTGAAAACAAGAAAATATCATTATGTACACTATAAAACTACGACTGATTAATAAATTTTTACAATAAAACAAAGTAACATACCTTCTTCTCTTATCATACTCTTATTATTTGGAAAATACGCGAGTCACTTTATAGCCAAAGGCTTTAAGCAGATTTTTTACGAAATTGTAATCGTTTGCAAGTAATTGAATTAATTAATAGTTTGTATGTTCAATTCACCATTCTCTGTCCGTATCTTTGGTCTTTATGCCCAACCTTATATAGTTTGCTTATATAATAAAACGTGACGAAAATGAGAACAGTTATTAATATTAACAATAACGAAAAACTATATTTCACATTCGAGATAGATAATGTTCCATGAACAAGTCTTATTATGAAAATATAATCTAAGAAATATTTAATCAAAAAAAGATCAAGAATTTAAAAGATTGAAAGATAATTCCAGCTGTTAATAATATTATTGCAGAAAAAAATATTGATATATTCACATTAAATAACTTAATTTGATATTGGGGATGGCATTTTTTAAAGCATTACAAATGTATATTGGGTTATTACTAAGCAGGTTCTTTTATTTGTACAGCCGCGATCGGACCATAAGGTTCGTAACTAATTAATAATCATATTTGACAAAATTTTAAACATCCCTTAGCTTGCAGTAAAAAACTTGTGTTGTGAAAGTCAGAGACACTATTTAACCTCATTGACACAGTGATATTATTTCAACATTTAACAAAAGCTACCTGCTAAGAAAGGCTAATGCTACAAATAAACCGTTTTCTTGCAGAAGCTTCTAGATGCATGAACGATACTTAAAAACTGCATATTTTCCATCAATAAATGTACAAAAATATTTTCAGATTAACAGATTCCTGTGGCTGGTATGTTGTTTTCCAATCTCCTGTTCAAGACTCTGTTATTGAGAGAATAGCACTAAATGCTAAAACGGGAGGGGGAAGCACAAACGCAAGTGGGAATAATGCCACAGGGACTGACGTCATGCTGGGTGTTGCTAGTGGCTCTTTAGTCCGTTTGTGGGCTTTTTCAACCCATTGTGAACCTGTAAGAAGAACATTAATCGGTAAGCGTATTATCTTATCTGTATCCATTACTTAAAAAAACTATGATATCAATGAATGCTATTATATCTATAGTAAATCCAATGTCTTTATTTGCTTATCAAAAACATTATTTACTATATATTAGTGATAATATTATAATTTAGATACACATTAAAGATAAGTATTTTATAGTACTTCTTTCACTACTATATAATCTGTCCATGTTTTGTAATTGTAATAAACATTGTTAATTTTCTTGTCTTTTTTAAATAATTGATGAAACTTAATATAAACACAATAATTATTCACTGAATCAATTCTCATAATTATTGCCCCTGCAGTGGGGACGTAAAAGGGCTGATGATGATGATGATGATGATGATGATGATGATGAATTGTGTTTAAATATGTTATGGCTTTGACGGCACAGTCCACTTATTACGCTTTTGCAATTCAAAGACCAAAAAATAAGATTTTTTATACTTTTTGTCTTGCTTGATAGTAACACAAATTCAACAAATATTTTTCTCCTATTATCATTTTGTGGACAAGTGATAAAGTACGGTCCCGAAAAGATAATGAAAAGTTGCAATAATATCCAAATAATGCATATCATCAATTTACCTGAATGCTAAATTTTAATTGCCCAATCAGAATGATTCAACTATCATACCATAGGATGACACGTGCGCGGGCCCTCTGCCGAGTGTGGATGAGACGGACACCTAATGGATTGTATTATATATCCATTAGCGTAGTTACGGAATTTTCCTAGGGAATTCCATGGAGCCATGGAATTCCCTAGGAAAATTTAATCATGGAGCTATTTTATGTATGAGGGGAGGTATTTTTCTAGGGTGGGCCCGGCTCACACTGGCTCGACCCTAGCTACGCCTATGTATATATCTTATGGTTATTTAAACAAGACTCTTTTTAAATTAATAGTCTTTGTTAATTGGTATATCGGCTTTGCACAAAAAGAGATTCACCATTATTATAAGGAATTATTAGGAACTTACTGTAAAGTAAAAGACTAAAAACTAGACCTGACAATTTGAAACTTATTATTTAACAAAATGCTTCCGTATAAGTAGTACATCAATCGTCATATTCACAAATTTCAATAAATAGTCTACTAAGTTTTATTATTGAAGTGTCCTGCAGTGAAAAAAAAATATATGGTCACTCTAAGTATAGCTACAATAGGTTTGTGTTCTACAAGTGAAAATAAAGATTTTTGTTATATGTTCGGAAAATATAAACCATTTTTAGTTATAAATATGATGGCATTAAATTGGTTACATAAAACGTAACAACTTTCATTATAAAAGCTATAAACATAAACGCCAATACCTTTTTTGCCATCGTTCAACTCTGTGACGTCACTTAGTGCCTTGAATTTGTAGGAAGCTTTTTCAGCTGACTATCAGCAGTTCCACAAACATACCATCGTATCTCCGAAACAATCAATCGCAAACATGATGTTACTTCTACTTCTATTTCTCAGATATTAATGGACTATTTATTTATAAAAAAAAAGAAAGTTGTCAACTAGTATATTACAAAAATAAATAACAGGAACGTTTAACCTGGGGGTACGCGTGGAGCACCTATTGTTTGTGGGCCCCCAACTGGTCGCCCTCAGCGGCGCCGGCAGCCGCAGCAAGGCCGGTGTATGGCACACGAGTACGCAGCACTGGCAGACGCAAGACGTCGCCCATCTCACCACTTACGACACTGCCGGCTCATTTTTACTACTCGGCACTGCTACTGGAGCCATAAATTATATCGGTATTGTATCAACAGTGATATAACAGTGAATGTGTAATAGTCGTTATTAATATATACAAAAATATCCCTTATTCCCTTCAAAATAAGAGTGAATGAATAAGATTTATTGTGCCACAAACAGTTTTATAGAAATAGCATTATCAACACAAAAGGCAGCGTCATAACTAAATTAGCAATCTTTTACAAGCAACTTTGGGCTATGGGAAATTATACCAAAGGAGCAATTGACACAATCTAGTTCGATTGTCGATTGCTTTCTAAATATCTAGTTCCCATTAGAAAAATGAATTATAATGCGTGGATGTTTTTATAATGTGCTTAAAGTACTTTACCTAACTACTTACTTACCATATTAATTTATATATTTTTTTATCTTCAGATATGCAAAAGTTTCCGCTTCGCATGAAGGATAACGACTTACTTGTGACACAATTATACAAGGATCCAAACCAGGAACCTATCACAGCGATATCTGTATATTTAACACCAAAAACGAGTAAGTGTATTACTTCATGACACTATATTAATTATTGACTCTATTCATATAATTGGCTCGCATGCTGGTTTTAAGGCGTTATCAACTCGGAGATCTCTGATTCGATTCCCGGTCTGATCAACGTAGAAAATTTACTTAATTATTACGCGTCTGAGCATTATTGATTTTGTTATTTTAGAATTCCACAAAACAAAGATTTTAGACACTCTGTGGCTAGTTATTATTATTTGTTAACATGCACAATTAAATATAGATATACAGCCTTACTTATAAAAATTCATTAAACTATGGTTATTCAATGGTTATACCAAGAATAGTTATACTCGGTATATGCTCATAATAACGGAAGAATATCTTTTGACTTATAAACTTGGTATATCTTCGGCGTAAGTATTCCACCCTAATGTTCGATGCACGTGGCGGCAACGCCGCATTTCAAAAACAAAATCGAAAAAAAGAAAGTATTTTGTCTGTTGAGGTGTCAAATATCACTGAGTTTAACGTTTGGTTTATTGACGTCACATGTGGTTATTCCTTTAACAAGACGCGGGTGATTTTGTGCAAGTTATTGTAAATTATTAATTCAAATATAAACTAACATCAAAATGGCAAGTAAAAGTATTATCTCAGCGTTATCAGTATCTGCAATATAACTCACTGCCAAATAAACGTTCTAACAATAAGACGCCGTCTCCCGCGGCTTTGACCGCGTTAATTATAGTTTATGACACTCGAGTATGATGTTGCTATCTGTTATACCGATTTATGAAAATCTTACTTCTCTATAATATTAGTATAGATATAACTGAACTAATGACCGTAATATAATTACGTAACCGCCTCGGATATTAATAGTTATTTAAGATACGAGTGCGGAAAATAAGGTTAATAAAACTAAGTATGTATTAAAGGTAAAAATTATTTGTTAAAATTAAACGTGATATTTGAACAGTTTTCGTGTCATACATTTTTATTTGAAAATATTCGTTCTAGGCTCTTTGAAATACTTTTGCCTCTAAAGTTTGACATATTTTCATCAATTTTTTTGGTGCTCGGTCAAAAAAAAATAAAAAAATACTTTTAAGCATGTGTACAGTAAAGGATTTCAGTACATTTTTATTTAACACGTGTTTAAAGACTCACTTTCAGTGTTTACAATGGATTAAAAAAATAGCGCTTTATGAGCAACTGTATTGGAAAATTTGTTTAAGTAACTGTTCAGTTTGCTTTGTGGTATTTCCTTATGAGCTTGAGGTGTGATAATATTTGCTTTTTTTTCTATTAGATCTTTGCGGCAACTGGATAGAGATAGCGTACGGTACTCGGTATGGATCGGTGCGTGTGATAGTACAGCATCCGGAGACTGTTGGTCACGGACCGCAACTGTTCCAGACTTTCACTGTTCATCAGAGCCCCATCACAAAGGTGACCTTCATATTTATCCTTATTCTGATTTTTTTTGTAAACTGATGAAGGCTACTCTTTTTATCGCTCACCAGATGGAGTAGCAATCGCGAGAGGTCATGTCAAAGTTTAAGTAACCTTAAATCATACATAAATAAACCTATTTATTATGTGTATCGAGCATGTCCAATAATCTAACCTATTTGTCGTCCTTTCGACCCACATAATTTTGCCCCTCTTTTTCTTAGTTCCGTTTTTAAAGCACTGATATTCATTGACCCATAATTCATAATTGTTTTAATTATCTTCAAATACTACAAAGGAAGCATAAAATTCGTTTGTAGTGCAAAGAAAGTTTGATATTTGACATTTCGACACACTAGCGCCTCTAGTGGCAAATTCAAACGCGTTAGCCCTCATTACTTTATTTTGCATTATGTGTGTTTTCATAAAATTAATTACCTATTATGTACTTTAGGTTTGCATTAGTTTCTGACTGAAATTTCAAATGAGATCGCCTTCAAAATGGGTTAATATTTTCCGAAAATATAACAGAAACCTTTTTTTACTTGTAGGACACGACCCTTGTAAACATCGACAATGTTATTGCAGGTATCACTATCAGAGAACTACTTAATATCAGTGTGTAGTGAATATAATCACGTGAGATCATGGAGAGTGACGAGGTTCAGGGGAATGATATCCACGCAACCTGGTACAACGCCCAAGGCAGCATTTAAAGTGTTAGCCCTAGAAGCTCCTACTGCGCAGCCGCATAATGACTGTGGTATGGGAAATAAATTATTACTCTCCCTCTTTCTCTTTGTTAATAAATTAATTATATGCTCTCTCTCCCCCTCTCTCTCTCCCCCTCTCTCTCTCCCCCTCTCTCTCTCCCCCTCTCTCTCTCCCCCTCTCTCTTCCTCTCTCTTCCTCTCTCTCTCTCTATCTAAATAAAGAAATCAAGTAACAAATATCAAATCTGACTCAGAATACAAATGAAATATTAACACCTGTATCTAAAGTCAAGTAAAAGTAATTCCTAAAGCAAATATTTTTTAACAAATAACAAGAATTTGTATGGAGTAATAACTGGTACTGTTATTATGATTAGCTTTTAAGTAAGTATTGTTTAGCATTGTTATTCTCGTCTATTACGATATCTGCCTAAGTTAATTACTCAAGAAATTACTTCTATCTACTATAGATACCAGTGTAAGTATTTCAAGAAGCATTTGTATAGATAAATAAATATTAAATATTAGATAACATCACATACATTGCTCAGATTCCAAGATAAGTAGCTAAAACCGCCGTTAAGGAGTATCTGAGACAACGAAGGTTCAGACCACCACAACATCCAAACCCGAGACAATATAGAAAAGTTCATTTTCTACATTGACGCGACCGGAAATCGAACCCGGGACCTCAGAAATGGCAAGACCTTGAGACCGGCGTGCTCTTCCATTATGTTATAAATCATTAATTTTATAAAATATGAAAGTTCAGTTTATTTTTAAAATAATTTAATATTACAATTTATCATTCATTATTGATAGTACCACATACTATTCTATTGCAGGTCCTTATGGTGAACAAGATGAGGAACAAATATTTATACAAAAAGTTGTACCTGACACGGACACACTGTATGTGCGATTAGCTTCTAACGGAAGAAGGTAATTAATCGGAAATTATGTATATTTACATTAATATTTTAACACATAAAATGCCAGCTGGGAAAATTGAATTTCTGGAAATGACCAATGTGTTATGTTTCTTTGAAATTTGATTTAGTTTGCCAAAATTACTTTCTAGAGTTTCTTTACTTTTAATATTGTCTAGGTAGATTTAACAGGATATAAAAATATATCGCGTCATAGACCATACATAACACAATAGGGATGATGACTAATTTTTGTTTGTTTGTCTGTCAGGTAGTGATAAAAAATATTAAACACGCATTTTTTTTTCGTAATCATAAAATTACAGCGTTACATGGAGTTGAAATTTCGCATGACGTCACGTTAGGGTACGTTTTCTACTCAACTGTGACGTAGCGAGCCCCCACTCCTCAACTTTAATGCCTGTTATCTAAGCTATTTCTCGTTACATTGAAGTAAAAAAAATACGTATCTAATATTTTTCTATTATCTAACTGACGGACTAAATAGAATTGCATTTTTTTTACCCAGTCATCATCCCTATTATTGGTCGGCCAGTGGCTGACGTGCCAAATCACGCGATATCCCGTGTTAAGATATACGAGTTAATATCATTATACGCTCTGTAACCTGTGCTGCCGACTTCTCTTTCCGGGACATTTTCGTAGTGCAGTGTCGTATACAGGGTTATCAATTTCGCTACATAGTTGACGTGTGCCCCTCGCAGGGTGTGCACGATCCGTTCCGTGGACGGTACGTCGGTGTCGTGTTTCGTGGTGGCCGAGTGCGAGGGCGCGCTGCGGCCGCGGCGGCTGCTGCTGTGCGGCCACCGGTCCGGCGCCGCGCAGATGTGGGACCTCACCGCGCCCATCGACCGCGCCGCCCGCACGCCGCCCACCGCGCAGCCCAACGGAGGCAACGCCGCCGCCGCCGCCACCGCCGCCACAGGTCAGTGGTACATCGCCGTATTGAATCGGACCGAGATCTGATTTACATAGATATTAGTTATTTAAGATACGAGTGCGGAAAGCGCTCGTGTTTTCATTGGCACTAATTCGAAAAACCTTTTGCGCTCAAGTTTCTAACAACATTTTTCAATGCTTTCTGCGAAGAAATAAAACAAATACATAGGTTTATGAAACTAAGTATGTGTTAAAGGTAAACATTATTTGTTAAAATTAAACGTGATATTTGAACATGTTTTCGTGTCATACATTTTTATTTGAAAATATTCGTTCTAGGCTCCTTGAAATACTTTTGCCTCTAACATATTTATATTTTCACATATTTTCATCAATTTTTTTTTTTATTTCTTTGGTGCTCGGCTAAAAAAATACTTTTAAGAACGTGTGCAGTAAAGGATTTCAGTACATTTTTATTTAACATCTGTTTAAAGACTCACTTTCGGTGCTTACAATGGATTAAAAAAATAGCGCTTTATGAACGACTGAATTGAAAAATATTATAATGTATCTGCTTACGAAATCCGATGACGATTTTTCTTTAAATCCTTCCTTTACCGCGGTCATATCCTGATCGGCGCCTGAGCACCATAACCGTTATCGGTAATCTGACACCGGCACTTGAGCCACCTTACGGCTTTGAATTTTTTTTTTTGTCGTTCGTTTAAATAGTGAGTCTAGTTTAAGAATTTGAATGAATAGTTCTTGTATACAAGCGCGCGGTAAACGGTGCACTTTTTTTTAGCGTGGGGGACGAAGGGTTGATGATATCGTTAGAGGATCCAATTCATTTCAAATCATGTTTAGGTATTGTTCAAGAACCTACCTAATATTTTGTAAAATTTCAATCAGTCTCTAACATACAAAATTTATGAGCTTGAATACTTCTGTCGCGCCACAATACATCACAAAAATGTGTTACTGTCTTTAAGAAATGTTTTGGAGAAAATCATCTGTGACAGACAGATAACCATCATACCAAGTATCCGGTTTTTTTTTTAATTGCAGATCTAAAATATATTCGTACTGTCGGAAATCTAACTGTAACCTCTACTCTGCACGTTCGCTCTACCGTCACGGGTAGTTTCTTCCAATCATGACGCAGGTCACTCTTGCTAGTAAATGTGACAACTGGGTAAAAAAAATGCAATTCTATTTAGTCCGTCAGTCAGATAATAGAAAAATATTAGATACGTATTTTTTTTACTTCAATTTAACGAGAAATAGCTTAGATAACAGGCATTAAAGTTGAGGAGTGGGAGCTCGCTACGTCACAGTTGTGTAGAAAACGTACCCTAACGTGACGTCATACGAAATTTCAACTTAATGTAACGCCGTAATTTTATTATTACGAAAAAAATAAAAAAATACGTGTTAAATATTTTTCAACACTACTCGACGGACAAACAAATAAAAATTTGTCGTCATCCCTATTCTCTTGTTTTTCCTTATTTTAAAATGAAACTGACGATGCACATAATGACATTAATAATACACTCTGATATAATAAATTGGTTGATTAATAATAATTAAATAATCAATCTCGCAAAAACTAAAGCGATACAATGTCATATATGAAATAAACAAAAATTCGTCGATCTTCAGCTTCTTTTCACTAATTTTGTTCTCGCTTGAGATATCAATGGCTTTTTGATAATTTCAGAAACTAAATGAATATTTTACAAATATTCACAATAACAATTACAGTAAACAATTATATTGCCATATAAAAGTCGATTGATTTTTTCTTTCGTTTTTCTGTCATCAGGTTCTGGTATTAGGAAAAAAAATTGTAATACCCAAGTGTAACTTAAGTTGTGTACTTATTCAAGTTAATAAGTTGTCACTGAAGTCAATAGATCTGCCAATAAATGAAAACATGACCAAAAAATATTTATATCAATGGCTCTTGTCTAAGAGTTTTCATTCGACTCAAGAATACATAGAATCTAAACATAAGTGTTGTAAGAATAATGTTTTATATTTAATGAAAATTGACTAGAATTAAAATATATTGACATTTAATTTAAAAACCACAACACCGGCCCTTTTACGTCCCCACTGCAGGGGCTCAGGCCTTCCTTATGGATGGTTAAGGAGGATGGGCCATGACCCTCCACACTGGCCCAATGCGGATTGGAGGGTATTAACGACTGCAAATGCAGCCGGGACCAACGGCTTAACGTGCCTTCCGAAGCACGAAGTAGCTCGAGATAATAATTTTTTGGTCACCCATCCCATGACCGACCCTTGCGAAAGTTGCTTAACGACAACGATCGCGGTCCGCGGCGCTTATCCACTACGCCACCGAGCTACTAATTTAAAAACAAATTAATATAATTGCTGAATACTAATATTAACAATAAAACTGACATTGATATGAAAATGTAAAAACTGTAATACCTATTATTTTAGATATTGTTCACATAAACAGTCGGTGGGCTACAAAACATTTAGTATGAATCTGATCAACCCCTTAATTTTTATAAATTAAATCAACGTGCCTTTCAGTAAAACATCGTCGTATAAATAACAAGACTGTTTTAAGAGTTAATAAGCAAGAAAATTATCGTTCAGTTGACGCGCTACTCAATGGTTCCTATAGTAACTATTCGTTTTGCTAATTTGTAAACTTCAGAAAATATGGTTGTTAAATTATATGTGTGTAAATATTTTATGCTACCCAATTAAAACTATTATAATACTTTTGATTAAAGAACGAGTTATATTACCTTCTTTTTAGTTAAATCTGACCTGGGCACACAGCTTCCATTCGCTATTATTAAAAAAAATTCTTCAAAGGACAACGTTAATGCATTCGTATGTAATGGTATCATCAGCACAGATCAGAAAGAGCAGCTCACAGTTATAATTTTCCACATTTCTCGATAAATATATAATTGTATTGTTAGATTAATTAAGGAATTAAAACTTTATCAATAGCGCTCGGGAAAATTATCATAACAAAATGACGAAAAAATGTTTGAACGATACACAGGTCAAATTAAACAGTCCCTTTACGAAAACGCTACTCTTTTGATTACTTTTTAATTTAATCAGGTTGCGATAAGCAGTTCCTCACAAAACCGTAACACATGAATGAATTTTTTACACACATACAAATATCTTCTGCGTACAAGACGAATTTTGACCTATCGTGTTTGTATGGCGAATAAGTTGTATAAAGTGCAGCTTACCTATAGTGACATTAAATCTATTATAAATTAATTAGAATATTGCTACAGTTCTTATTTGTTAATTAAAGTCAAAGGGATCTAGTCTATACAGTCATATCTATAAACCGAAAAAAATTAATGAATATTTAATTTTCCTATACAGCGGAAGGTGAAGAATCTCCAGTGCCGGACGGCGGTCCGACTCCGGACGAGTTGGTCCGCCTGTTGTCCGCGTGCGATCTGGACGCGTCGCCTGTACCTGTACTGCCGCCGTCACCTAACAGACCGATACAGGCGCCATGAAGTCCGGCCCGAGGCGTTTGTAACGCGCTACGTCGACTGTACTCGGTCATCGTGCACGCGTGATTGTACGTATTTACCTTATACATGTCAATTTGACATTCACTAGGGCATGGGTCAGTTACCTTATAAAACGAAAGAAACATAAGATACAACTTACTTAATTTCAGTTTTTGAATATGTCGCGGTCATATCTCAATCGTATTATAATATTGATAAACAATTGAGGTGTAGACGTTTTTTTAAATACTTTTATTTTATAGATATACAAAATTTCCCGCGAAAACGCCATCTTCTGTCATGGCGATACATTTTTTTCTGGTAGTGTTTAATATACTATTACCGATAATCACACTTTTATGCTTATGATATTATTACGCTCTGTATGAAATATAATAGGCAGAAAAAAAGCAGCCCTTACAGAGTTTCTTGCCGGATTTTCTCGGTACAAGGTCTCTCGCCATAGATTTATGAACCGATGGCGTAGCTCTCGACTTTCACAAGTGCTTTTAACAGCCTAGACTGAATTAATAATTTTGATTTGATTATTGCTTAAATTAATTATAAAAAAAGTAAATATTTTATTCGTTGTCATGAGGACACAAACAGCACGTGAAGTCACACCCCATTTACTCATATCAGAACTTCGAGAATTAAACCTTATGCATTTGTAGAACGATATTAGTTTTAGAGGGCTGTCACATCATAACGACGCCATGACAGAAGTTGGCCTTTTCGCGGGAAATTTAGAAATTAAATTTATTTTAAACTTATATGAATGATACTTTTTAATATATACGTTTTAGATATATATTATGTATATCTATAAAAGCAAAATATTAAAAAAGTTGAAAAAAAAAGAACAGTTGTTGAAATTCCCTTCCAGGTTCAGAGCCGTCATTGCAATTGACCTTCACTAGATTGGCTGCTATCAGAGAAAATTGCTTTCTTAATACATTCTAATAAGAGACGGCGATGTTTTAAAGTTGTATCATCCTACAGCGAGATATGACTGGTGAGGCTCACTAATGTACCTGCGTAGAAAGCTACATTTCGAAGCGCGGCAATTGTCGACCAATCAGAATGATTAGCGTGCCTTTGGGCGATCCGCCTTATTCCCAATATTACTGAGTGTGAGTAAAATTTACACCTTATTGTTATCGACTTAAGACTCATTATAAATTTGAATCGTACGTTCAATGAGTTGAATCGTACCGGAATTGGTAGATTCTTACTGTACCAGCAGTGTTACCTTAGGAACCTGTGTCTCCGAAAACGAAACTTAGTCTATTTTCGAAATGCTAATGTGACTTCAAAAAACCCCTTTTCAATCATTTATGATGCAACCCGAGATATTTCAAATAGACATTCCTTTAATTTCAAATAAATTATAAGAACGATTTGAAATTATCTGAGTTTTCGTTTTTGGGCAAACGACGTAGGCTCTCAGGTGTGGGTTTATCGAGACTTAACGAGAGAGAAAGAAAAAGTTCGTCACTATAAAGTCCAATTTTGCTTATAACAGCTCAGTAATCAGTACCAATTAAACAAAAAGAGTATGGGATTTGCTCTGTACTGCCAATGTTAATTTTATATAATGTCAACTTTCTGCCAATAGTAACAATAATTATAACAATTCTATAGCAGCAAATAATTATTTATCTGTCATTACTTATTATCAATTTATGGTTAAACTAAATCAAAAAGTTTTCTATCAAAATGGGATCTTTTACTCTTAAAAACAATGACGAAAATTTTAAAGAAAAAAACAAAGCTCATAATCAAATAGTTAAGCATAGTTTTCTATGCAGCATTATATTTTGGGACTTAAGTTTCATAAGTGCTTGCGACTTCGAAGGAATTGATTTGAACTTTGACGAACCTTTTCATTCCTCTACTGTATCTTATCATGAATTACGAGTAAACAATTTATTTGCATCCTTATATCCTTATATATATGAAATTATTTTTGTAAGTACACGTTGTTAAATAAAATCATCAGTAATGTTTGTTAACTTTCGATGTTTCCTTTTGAATTGCTGAAAACCTTTCAGATTTGTAAATATATTTATTTTAACGTTTCAGTTCCTAAATCAAATATTTATTATTATAAAGACTATCATATGAATTTCTATGTATACATATGAAAAGAATTTGTATATTTATATATTAAGACAAATATTATGGATTGTTGAATTTATACAGCATGTGTTGTTGCCATTGATATACATAAATAAAAATGTATGGCTGGCAGCAAAAGACTGACTTCATTTTTCGTATGGAAGATGTTCATGATAATTTACGAATTCTGGTTTTTGGGACCGTCCATTAGTGACGTGATTTTTTCTAAACATTTTAGAACCCTCCCTTTGGCGATATATGGTGAAGTTTAAGACTTAACCTCCCCCCCCCCCCGCACCCGCACCCGCACCCGTCCAACCAAATCTCGTGTAGTTTTAGTACCTACTTTCAATCTTAATTTTTAGCACTGCTTTTCGGTTTAGTAATCATGCGATTGAGAAAAAATATATATACGTGATATACTACACCATAGACTGAAGTGATTAATGAACGGCCCCTTTTATGAAACATTCTGTTTGTTATTCATGATATGAATGTGTTTGGTATTTAAGGTTAAGTATGTAAATTATTCAGATGAGTCCCATATCATGTAATATAAATTTCTAACGGCTATTTCATGGCAATCGTAGAATCAAAATTAAAAATAAATAAACCTCCACTACATTTATCGGATTGATCACATCTGCTTAAGAGCGGGGAATATTTGATGATTCCCGAGTGACGCATCCAGAGGTATTGTAGTAAGAGAACCCTCCAGCTATCCCTCGGTAAAGGGAGAGAAGATCGCGGTACCTATCTACATATATCTTTCTCTTAGCGCAAGCATAATTGGTCCGGAAAAGGAGCATAGCAGAACGGCGGTTTATATATAGGTGACCTTTTGTGTACATGGTTCAGTATAGACAGATGCTGCAATCTTCCGTCTTTCCGCTTACAAGGATGCTACCAAACTAGCTATGGGATACAACATTATAGCAAATATTATAACGATATATCTCGTTTGTTTTATACTTTGACATGTCTTTTAGTGGATAAATCTGGGGTAAATGACTAAGCATTTAATGAAACACTGCTGTCAATCTATATTCATCATTCTTTTTTCGTTATTATAGTACATTTAAAAGTAATAAAATGAAACGAAATAGCGCTATAACATCGCTAAGATGTCGTATCCTATGGCTAGAGTTATAGGTGGAGGAGTTGGCGTTCGCTCTGCAGGTTATAGTAACTTTAATGCCTATAATAGTTATAACCTACTACTTAGAAATTACAGATGTAAAGATAATATCAAAATATATACAGCCTCTTTTCAAACAAGAATTATATCCGAGACGGATAAGGTGTCCGGACACATTAGTGAAGTAATAAGGCATGAATAACCGAACAGTTTGTCTGTTCATTTCATTAGAATTTTATATGTGCTCATATTACAAAAAAGTTTTGATTGCTAGTTCTTATTATTTAAATTAATTCTTATTGCTTTTTAAAATGTTTTGGGATAAGAATGGGTGTAATGTAACTTCTTTGTCATATTTAGTTACAGCTTATTTGAACGTAATTTAATTGAAAGATCATATTCTTTTTGTTAAGGCGCCATCAACAAGACGCCAGTACTACGCAGTCTCATACATAACCTGAAAAATAAAATCCTTAAGATTATTATGTCCTGGTTTAATTTTCACAGAACCGATTGTTGTTACGACGCTAATGTGTATGGACAATGTTTACTGTAAATTTTATTTATACTTATGTAGTTAGTATAATAAATTATTGTTGTTGTTACTATAGATGTCGTTCTTGCTTTCCTTAAAAACTTATACCAAAATGAAATCATTCAATGATTTATTTTATAGTTCATATATTTAAGACACATTTTGGCATGGTCACAGATTACAACATGGATTTGTATCTCTCTTAGCAAATAATTGTTTATTTGTTGTTGTATATCTCTCGGTAATGGAACATCATAGCATTATATTTTTACTACCTATTAGGGAGTTGATATAGTGTAAATAAAGCCTATATATTTTACAAGCTTAAAATTTAAATTATGTATAATTGAGGGATGAAGTAAATAAATTATTTACATTAATTACATTGTCTTTGATTTCTTTTTCCAAATGATTTTAATTGTGCCACACTTTCGAGCCTCTTTTCACTGTGTCTAGTCTGTTATTAAATACCCACGGACAGTGGAACGTTGTATAGATGATTTAAAGTCTCAAGCTATTAAAAGTAAAATTGTAAATTTATCACAGCGGCTTTTTGTAGAAACCTAATGTACAGTCGGCCAAGAAAGTGGTCGACCACCCTAAGGTTGAATTTCGCGTGTTACGTCAACTAACAACAAGCTTGATTTTCCGTAGCATTAATTTTTTTGACACGTCAAGTACACGTCATTATTGCTATCTTCATCATTTTGACGTAAGCTTTGACAGTAATTATCTATACCTATAATAAAAATGTAACAAGGTACAAGATATTTTGGAAAAAAAAATATATGGACGGCCTTCATAAGACTAATAGAAGCCAAAAATATTTTTTTTTCTGTCTGTCTGTTTGTGTTTAAATACTTTAGAGTTAGAATATCGTTAATAAAGTCTTATAGTCTACAAATATTCTACATTAGAATGTAGATTAATTATATTTTAATACAAATTAAAAAAATCAGTAGGTAGTGAAATGCTATGCGTAAGAAGCTATGCGTGCTATAGGTCTGAATATACTGAGATAACGGATAACAGAAATGAATAGCGACGAAAAACATATTGCGCCGACCCATAGCTTAGTGCGAGACAAGGGCTAAAACTAGAAGAGATAGTGAAACTACTAATTCTTTGGTTGTTAAAAAATATATACAATTCTTTTATAAAATTATAATTCTTAAAATCTTGTGTAGCCGCCATCTGCCTCTATAACAG